CCCCCCACTCTCCTCCTCCTCATTACTGTCCAGTCAACTAGCCTCCTTGCTTCTCCAAACGAGCCAGGCACATGAACCCCAGACCCTTTGCACCTGCTCCTTCCTCTGCCTGGAATGTTCCTCCCCCACATATCCACATGGTTCCTTCCCTCCTCAACTTCAGGTGCTTATTAAAGCATCACATTCTCATGAGCTCTCCCCTCACCATCCCTCAATCACTCGCTGTCCCCCTTTCCTGATTCATTCTTCTCTATGGCACTTAGTCACCCCTGCCATATTATACATTGACTTGTCTAATTCATTACTGTCACTCTCTCCTACTACAGTGTAAGCACCTTGAGGACAAGGCCTTTGTCTGTTTTCCTCACTGCAAAATTCCCAGCACCTAGAACAGTTCCTGGCACATAGTAGTGCTCGATAAATATTTGTTGGTTGGCTGGCTGGCTAGCTGGCTGGAGGGATGGATGGATGGTTGGTCGGTCCATATTGTTATATCCTATTTGTTTTTTCTGTCTTGCCCACAAAACTGTAAACTCCTTGAAGCCTGGGCCTATGTTCTGTTCACCCCTGTATCTGCAGGGAGGTCACACAGGGCTAGGCATATAAAAGTTGAATGAATGAGTGATCAACCCCTTCAGTTTACAGATGAGGGCATGGAAGCTGGGGGTAGAAGGGGCTTGGCTGTGGCGACTCAGTAAGTCACCAGCACCCCCCTCTAAATTCCCAAATCCCAGTTCTCCTCCTGAGACTCGGCTGTGGCTGACTATGGCTCCTTTGGGAACATTCATGCTCCCTGGCCAGAATCAGTGGTAGGGTTGACTACGCCCTAATACGAGACAGCCCCAGGGATCTGTTGGATTATTTGGTTTTCAGACTAAACCCCTAATATCACTTTGGGTTTAGGGCCTGGAGTCAAGAATCTGATTCCCTGGGTTTGAGTTCCAGCTCTGCTGCTCCCTTTCTGGGCCTCGGTTTTGTCATCTGTAAAATGGGAACAACGATAACACTACCTACCTCCATCAGGTGGCTATGAGGCTTACATCAAATAAGCCACCGCAAGTGTTTACAATGGAGCTTGGCATTTCGTGAATGCTCAAGAATTGTTGCCTGCCATTAAAAGTGCTGAACAATGAGTCTCCCTTTCTCCCTCCCTCCTTCCCTCCCTCCCTCTCACCCCTGCTAACCACTAATAAACTTTGGTCTCTATGCATTTGCCTATTCTGAATATTGCATATAGGTGGGATCATACAATATCTGTACTTTCATGAGTGACTTACTTCACTCAGCATAATGTTTATGGTGATGGAAAATTTGGCAATGGATACTGGTGATGGCTGCAAAACACAATTCGTGTGATCAGCGTCATAGATTTGTACATGTAAAAAATGTTGAATTGGCGCATGTTGTGTTACATATATTTTTACCATAATAAATTTTTTTATTATTATTATTTTAAAAGTTATGTGCTAAGCCGGAGGAGAAACTATTCAGTCCCTTTCAAGCTTCCCCTTGGTGGATTCCAGCTAATTGGAGCCTGGCCGGATGTGGTTTCAGGTTATAATGCCTCACTTAGGTTCCTGGGCACCTGGACGGTTGGCGTGATTTTCCCAGGTGACATTGAGCACATTATCTGGAGAACAAAACCCCTTTCAAGGTCAGGAACGCCTGGAGAGCCTCTGGTGCAGCCCAGGAGAGGTGAAACCATGGGCTCTGTCTGACCACGCTCTCCTGGGCATTCTGGCTGGAATTACACCCCTCAGGCTCCTGCCAATCCTACTGATTTTGGTGTAAGGAAAAAAAATCACTTCTCCCTCGCCCAGGGGCCTGCAACTCACTTGCTGGCTAGCAGCCGAGTTTTTTCTAAGCCTGGGAGTAAAAAGTCTATGCAATCTGACCCTAGCCTACCTGCTCAGGCTTCTCTCTCTGCCCCTCCCTCTCACCCTCCCCCCTCCAACGCACACACGCATTTCATCCCCTTGAACTTTCACAAAAACCCCCATCCTGTTTTCCAGAGAGGTGAGGTGACTTCTCCAAGGTCCCACAGCTGGGAAGGGGAGGATCTAGGTCTCTTCACACAACACCCTGCTCAGTGATGGAAGCCAATACTACCTACCCCATGGGATTGATCATCTTCTACAGATGGGAAAACTGAGGTCCAGAGGTGGGGCAACTTGCCCCAGGTCACACAGCTGGGAAGTGGTAGAGTGACTGGTCCCCCTGCAAGACCAGGATTCCTGCCACATTTAAAGTGCCAGCCGGGCTCAGAGCCCCAAATTGAAAGCCAAGGTTAAAATGCACCAGCCCAGGGACATCTGCCTAGGTGCCCTGCTTGGTTGGCAGAGCTGCTGCTCCTGGCACTGGGTGCCCTTGGGAGGGCTCTGTCCTGCTGGGCCTCACTTTTGAACATAAATGAGAAGTCGACCATTATCAGACCACCTTCCTGGTCTCAGCTACATCATCCAACCACCTCTATTTTTATTTAGATAAGACTTGACTTTAAATCAACTCGCCTTTTTATTAAAATAAAATGTAATTCTAAGTGAACAACCAGTATCCCTTGCCATCAAATGGAACAAAACCACAAAAGCAAATACAAGGAAAATCAAACATTTGCAAATGTTCGCTAGACTCTGTTTACCTGCTCAAAGTTCTCATTGTTTTTAAAAGGGGAGATTGGCAGTTGCTTGGAAGGTGTTTAAGGCCTATTAGCTCCAATGGAGACTTTCTCCTTGATGTAAAGAGAACGAGTGGAGGAGAGTTGAAAGAGAAATAGCTCCGACACTCTATGATTCGGTGACATTTAAAACACATACTCAGCAATTTTTTTAAAATTCAGCTATTAAAACAGTTACTGATTTGGAGGCATTAGATAATGTGCAGGCTGAGCGCTAGAAACACAGGATCTGTGTGTGTGTTAGAAAAATGTGCCTCCTTCGGGCAGAAGCAGACCTTTTGGACAGTGCAAGGCATAACGGGCCAAGAGAATGAATGAATGAATGAGCAAACGAATGAATGATAAAACACAAGAGGGGCCTTGCATGAACAGCAATCATGTTGTGCCACGCAGAGGATGGGGTAGGGAGTGTTCAAAGGTCTGTCAAGCACTGACATTTGTTCTAGGATTTGGGGGTTATACCACCGGAACATGGAAAGACAAAGGGCATCCCCCTGCTGTTATAATTCTCATCTGCCATGAGGGAGACCCAAGTTCATTCTAGGCAATGCACTTCATGCACAGCCACTACCCATCTGTGCATGGAGGCTTGTGTATTGCTATGAAGCTGAACAGGTTTCAGCAGAGCTTCCAGGCTAAGATGGACTAGGAAGAAACACCTGGCAATCTACTTCCAAAAATCAGCCAGTGAAAACCCTATGGATCCCAATGGTCTGATCCATAACGCATCCTGAGGATGGTGCAGGACTGAGTAGTGTTTCGTTCTGTTGTGCATGGGGTGGCCATGAATTTGGGGCCATCTCAATGACATTGCACCCTACTGACTGATATCTCAGACCTGTCCAGGTTGAAGGAGGGCTGATGACATGGGGTCTGAACACAGGACCAGATCCCCGATCGTGGGGGGCACCTCCGCCAGCCTGTTTCTCTATTTGCCCCCACAGCCTCCACCACTAATCTTCCCCATTGACCCCTAGGTCACCCACAGGCCCTAATGGTGGGCGGCGTGTGGGCTGCTCTGGGGCTTTCCCTGACCTGCGTCTGGGCCCTCAGCCTCATCTCCCCTGCCTGGTTCCAGACCCCCCACCTTCTCCTTTAGTGTCTTCACCTACTGCTCCTGGTCTCAGGGTGACAGCTGGAACCAGAGCTGCAGGATCTTCAGGTCCCTGGCTGATATTACTGACATTGCCTGGAAGGTGAGACTGGGGCTCATCAATTCACTGGGCTCTGGGGGCATGGCCAAACCCGCACAGGGCAGAGTAGTCAGACCCTTGGTAGTGGTACTCGAGCGGCCTTTCCTCACCGCCTGGGTGCCCTACACCTATGAATCTGCCATTCATCTCCCCTTAGAAGTAAGCACAGAGGTTCTTAAACCTGACAGCTCTTCAGAAGCACAAATACCAAATTCTGGACCTCACCCCAAGCCTCTGGCTCTGTAGGTATGGGCTAGGGCCTGGCTATCTGTATTTTAGCAAATGCCTAAGATGCTTCTGAAGGCAGCTGTCAGGCCCCATGGTACCTTTGTGCAAATTAGGAAAAGGACGCTATACTGGCACCTGCTGAAATACTGTCATAGTCAATATACAAATCTATGAACATAAACGAAATGTTACCTAGAGTTTTGCAGTGTACAACCTGCACATCCTTACCTGACTCCCCTTTAAGCACAGCTAGGTTTGAAAACCATAGCTAAGGTATTGAAAGTCCCTGTTGTGATGGATGTTACCAAAACGAACAGTCGAGGGAGTGGGTAAGGACTCCTAGGCCAGTCCCTCTAAGGAAGATTTCACAGCCGTCAAAACTGATAATTACAAAGACGATGTAACAGCACCCACTAAATGTCTCTCCTGGTGATTCTGCCATATACCAGATGCTCCTTAGGTGGTGCAAATGGTTAACATGCTCAGCTGCTAACCGAAAGTTTGGAGGTTCGAGTTCATCCAGAGGTACCTCAGAGAAAAGGCCTGGCAATCCACCTCTGAAAAATCAGCCACTGAAAACCCTATGCAGCACAGCTCTATTATGGCACACATGGTGTCACCATGAGTTAGAATTGACTCGATGGCAACTTGTGGTACTTGCAGTAAAGGTAGGGTGTGACAGTAGACCTGGATCTTAATTCGGACTCTACCACTTAATTAGCTGTGTACCTTGAGGCAAATGACTCCAAACTTCCTGGCCTCAGTGTTTGTTGATATATAAAATGGGACTAATAACACAGACCTCATATTGGCCAGTAGCTGGTCAATGAGTACAGGGAGCATCGCCTGACCCCACCTGAGCCAGCACCCTCCCTCCTCTGTCTTCCTGGTAGGTCTCAGCTGCAATGCTCCTCGGAGGCTGGATCCTGCTGGCCTTCAACTCAATTGTCCTCCTGTCCTGGGCCCTGTTCCCCAAATGGCTGAGCTCAAGGAAGGGCAGCGGCCCAGCTCCAGGGTTACAGGCAGCAGCAGGTAAAAATCTATTGGCACCTAGTTAAGCGCTCTAGACCTATTTGTGGAATGAATGAATGAGTGAATGAATGAGCTTGTGAGCAGAGCCTGGCCATCTCAGTCAGATCTCAGAGATGAGGCGTGGGATTGTAGACTATTCCCGGGCCTTGAACTAGCCAGAAATTGGAGAGGGCATTCTTTTTTTTATTTTTTTTTAATTGTGCTTTAGGTTCAAGTTTACGGCTCAAGTTAATTTCTCCTACAAAAATGTATGCACATATTGTTATGTGACATAAGCTGCAATCCCTATTAATGACAGCACACTCCCCCTTTCCACTCCAGGTTTGTTGTGTCCATTCAATCAGTTCCTGTCCCTTCCTGCCTTCTCATCCTGCCTCCGGACAGCAGCTGCCTATTTGGTCTCGTGTATCTGCTTGAACTAGGAAGCACGCTCTTCATGATTCTTATTTTACGGTTTATAATCCAGTCTAATCTTTGTCTGAAGAGTGGGCTTTGGGAATGGTTTTATTTCTGGGTTAACAGAGCAGGAGGGGGCATTCTTAATGCCACCCTCTCCTGCCCTAGGCCACCCAGTCCTAACAATCTGCCTCACTTTGCTTTTCTGTCTCATCCATTACTTTTAGCCATCTTCACCAGGGCTACCATACACAGTTGGGCAGGTTGTGCACGGCACAAGGGTGGCTAGCTGAGGATGAGAAAATGCTGAAATCTAGCCCATGCTCCACTTGCTAAGCTATGAACCTGCATGGCTGCATCTTCCCAGAAGGGACTCCTTTCTCTAATTCACATAAAGGCTCTGTATGGACAAGCCCTGATCTTGATTGTAACCCTCATTCAATTAATTCTCCACCATTTCATGCCTGGATAATAGCAGTAACCAGCTTACAGGTGTCCTTGCTGCTGCCCTTGCCCTCTAGAGTCTGTTTACCACAAGCGGCCAAATAGGTCCTGTTAAATCTGTCACTTTGATGACTAAGGTGCGTCTAACCCAAGCCATGGTCTTTTAAATCACCTCATATGAATACAAACGCTAGCAATGAAAATGGAAGATAGAAGAACTGATGCATCCAAACCATGATGTTGGTGAAGAATACTGAATATACTGTGGACTGCCAGAAGAATGAACAAATCACTCTTACAGAAATACAACCAGACTGCCCCTTAGAAGGGAGGATGGCAAGACTTTGGGTCACTTACTTTGCACATATCATCAGAAAAGACCAATTGCTAGAAAAGGACATCCTATTTGGTAAAGTAGGGGGTGAGCGAAAATGAGGGAGACCCTCAATGAGATGATTGACACAATGGCCATCATAATGGAGTCAAACATACCAAAGATCCATCCCAAAGATGGCACAGAACCATCTTCATTCTGTTATACATAAGGTAGCCATGAGTCAGAGCTGACTTGGTGGCAACTAACAACAACGACAAATCTGAAATCCAATCATGCAACTCAGCCTGGTTTCCCAAGGAGCGCTGGTGGCACAGTGATTAAGTGCTCAGCTGCTAAGTAAAAGGTCAGCAGTTTGAGCCTACCAGCTGCTCTGCAGGAGAACAATGTGGCAGTCTGCTTCCGTAAAGATTCACAGCATTGGAACCCCTATGGGGCACTTCTACTCTGTCCTACAGGGTAGTTTCCCATCACACTCAGTAAAATCCAAACTCCTTACTGTGGCCTACAGGGGACCACCTGACCCACCTTCCATTCCTTACTAACCTCATCGCTTACCTCTCTCTGCCAGGCTCACTGGGCTCAGCCACGTTGGCAGCTTTCTGTTGCTCACACACACCTAAGTCTGTTCCCTCTGCCTGGAATTCTCTTTCCCAAGAGCTTCACATGTCTCATTCTCCAACTTCATTCAGGCTTCTGATCAAATATCACTGCCTCAGTGAGATTTTCCATGACATCCTCCTAAGGGCGCTTCTCTCTCCTTGGATTCTCCACCCTCTTAACTTGTTTTTATGTATTTTTTTCACAGCACTTACTCACTCACCTGAAATGTTTGCTAACTTGATTACTGTCCATCTCTCTCCATTAGAATGTCAGCCCCATGAGGGGCAAGGACATGTCTGTCTTGGTCACCACTGTATCCCCAACACCTAGCACAGTGCTGGGCACATAATAGATACTCAATAAATATGTGTTGAATCAACAGATGACGGTAAAGTCCTTGCTCTAAGCTTGCTCAGGGCCCAGTGTGCATTTGGGGTGTCAGGCAGTTACAACTCAGTGGTATATTTGACATGATAAGGATAAGTACAGGACACTAGGAGAAACTCCAGAAGTACCTGACCTAGTGTCTGGGGGAGTCAAGGAAGGCTTGCGGGAGGAGGTATCATTTGAGTTGAGTCTTGAAGGATGACTAGAAGCTAGCCGAGGGCAGTTCAGGTGGTGGAAAGTGCAGGGACAAAGGCATGGAGACAAGAGAGCAAGGTGTGTACAGGAACCGCAAGCAGATCACTGTGGCTGTAGAGCAGCAAGTGAGGCTGGGGGTCATTGGATTCGCCTCTGCTGGGAGCATCCTGAACGCAAGGAGGTGTCCTGTTCACCTCTGTAGATCCTCAGTGCCCCCATATCACCTCTGTAACAGTTTTGATGAATAAATGCATGGGTAGATGGGTGGGTGGTTCATTGGATGGATGAATGAGTGGGTGGGTAAGTGGACGGATGAAATGATGGCTAGATCAATGGATATTGGTAGATGGATAAGTGAATGGATGGATGGATGTTGGTTACAAGGATGAGGAAAACAAGTGAGTTGGAATATGGTTGGATGGTTGGAGGATGGGGGATGGATGGATGGGTTGGTGGGTGGAAAAGTCAACGAGTAAGTGGATGAATAGAAGGATATATGAGCAGAAAAAGAAAGGAATGGATGGACGGTGAATGAATGAAACCTGGGATGGAAGCTTAACCCAGAGCCCCTTGACTGACACACTGGCTTTCCTTCCCGCTGTCTCCAGCTACGGCCACTGCTGTGGGCCTGCTGGTTTTCCCGATCAGCCTGGCCCCCTCATTGGCTAAGGAAGCCTGTGGACCCTCCTCCATGTACCGCAGTGGGCACTGCCAGTTGGGCTGGGGCTATGTGACCGCCATCCTCAATGCAGTCCTGGCCAGCCTCCTATCCATCACTGGATGGCCTGGCACTACCAAGGTCCCAGGAAGGACCATCCTCATCTCCAGTGATACTGAGAGAATCCTCCTCGTGCCAGAGACAAGCAAATAAAAATCTCCTGGGTGTAGCAAAAAAAAAAAAAAAAAAAAAAATACCCACCCTAGAGTTGTTTGAAATCACCATGTATCTAGCTTCAAATCCCATTTCTTTTTTCTTTTCAATCTTTTTTTTTACGGTTGTAGTTTAAATGAAGTTTACATTTCAAGTTAGTATCCCATACAAAAATTTATACATACACTGTTATGTGACCCTAATTGCTCTTCCCATACTGTGACAGCACACTCCTCCTTTCCACCCCTGATTCCCCATGTCCATTCAACCAACTCCTAACCCTCTCTGCCTTCCCATCTCACCTCCGGACAGAAGCTGCCCATTTAGTCTCTTATATCTACTTGAGCTAAGAGGTACACTCCTCATGAGTATCACTTTATGTCCCACAGTCCAGTCCAATCCCTTTCTGAAGAGTTGGCCTTGGAAACTGTTTTAATTCTGGGCTGATGGAGAATCCAGGGGCCATGCTTTCCCGGGTTTCTCCAGTCTCAGGCAGACCATTAAGTCTGGTCTTCTGACTAGAATCAAATCCCATTTCTGCTGTGTAACCTCAGGCAAGCCACTACACCTCTCTGGGCCTCAGTTTTCTCTTCTGTAAAATGGGGGTTGAAATAATACCTACCTCAAAGGGTTGTTATGAGAATTAAGTTGAGATACTCTATGTAAATAAAGCACTTAGCACAGTATCTGGCAAATGGTGCTCATCTTGGTCATCTAGTGCTGCTCCTACAGAAATACCATGAGTGGATGGCTTTAACAAAGAGAAGTTTATTCTCTTACAGTCCAGTAGGCTATAAGTCCAAATTCAGGGCACTAGCTCCAGGAGAAGGCTTTCTCTCTCTGTTGGCTCCAGAGAAAGGTCCTTGTAATGCATCAGTCTTTCCTTGGTCTGCGAGCTTCTCTGCACAGGAACCTCAGGTCCAAAGATGCGGTCTGCTCCCAGCACACTTTCTTGGTGGTATGAGGCTCTTATGTGTCTCTGCTCGCTTCTCTCTTTTATATCTCAAAAAAGATTGCATTAAGACACTAATCTTGTCAACCTCATCGGTATAACCTCATCACAGTGATAGAATTTACAACACATAAGGAAACCACATCAGATTACACAATCATACAACACTGGGAATCATGACCCAGCCAAGCTGACAGATATTTTTGGGGGACACAACTCAATCCATGACAGTGCTCAATAAACATTACTGGTTAAGAACTATGGCTACAAACCAAAAGGTGGGCAGTTCAAATCCAGTGGCCGCTCCTTGGAAATCCTATGACACAGTTCTACTCTGTCCTATAGGGTCGCTATGAGTTGGAATTCACTTGATGGCAATGGGTTTGGCTGCGTTTGGTATTACTGTTATGGAGTTCCTGGGTGGTGCAAACAGTTAATGCTCTTGGCTGCTACCCAACAGCCTAGAGGTTCGAATCCACCCAGAGGAGCCTTGGAAGAAAGGCCTGGCAAGCTACTTCAAAGAGATCAACCACTGAAAACCCTATGGAGCACATCTCCACTCTGAAATACGTGAAGTCACCATGAGTCAGAGTCAACTCATTGACAACTGGTTGGTATTATTATTATAATAGCTATCTCACAGGACTGTGGTGAGAATTAAATGTATTTATGAAAAGTTCCTGGGGCAATTCCAAGTACATGGTTGTCACTCAAATAGGACACTTTTAAATGAGTATGTGCACATCCTCTCTCTCTTTATAATTCCTCCTCTTGGAGAATTTGGAAATTATTCACTTACTGTCATGGATTGAATTATGTCCCCCCAAAAATGTGTGTATCAAGTTGGCTGGGCCATGATTCCCAGTATTGTGTGCTTGTCCTTCATTTTGTGATTGTAATTTTATGTTAAAGAGGATTAGGGTGGGATTGTATGACACCCTTACTAAGGTCACATCCCTGATTCAATGTAAAGGGAGTTTCCCTAGGGTGTGGCCTGCACCAGCTGTTATTTTCCAAGAGATGAAAGGAAAGGGAAGCAAGCAGAGAATGGGGGACCTCATACCACCAAGAAAGCAGCACTGAGAGCAGAGTGCTTCCTTTGGACCTGAGGTTCCTGTGCTGAGATGCTCTCAGGTCAAGGAAAGACTGATGCATCACGAGGACCTTCCTCCAGGGCCGACAGAGACAGAAAGCCTTCTCCTGGAGCTGATGTCCTGAATTTGGACTTGTAGCCTACTACACTGTGAGGGAATAAATTTCTCTTTGTTAAAAGCCATCCACTTGTGGTATTTCTGCTAAAGCAGCACTAGATGACTAGGGCCCTTACCCATCAAATATTTGTTGTTGTTGGGTACTGTCAAATCGGTTCTGACTCATAGCAACTGCTCCATACGGTTTTCTTTGCTGTAATCTTCGCAGAAGTAGATCGCCAGGTCTTTCTCCCACAGAGCTGCGGGTGGGTTCGAACCACCAACCTTTTGGTTAGCAGCCGAGAGCTTAACTATTGTGCCACCAGGGCTCTTCATCAAATATTTCATGAGTGCCTATTATACACAAGACTTTGTGCCAGCGCTGGGGTTGGGGGCAGGAGTTAAGGACCTGCCCTACCCTTCCAGGCAAATAATCCCACTTCACTGTTACTCACTGCACTTGAGGCTTTTCGTGATTATTCAGTTTCAACTTTTCTCTTCAGCCTCTCTGTTGTCACTCTCCCAACACCTCCTCCCTGAGCCTCTTGCTCCACCCACACTGAACTTCTGACCCCACAGAAAACCTCTCACACCACCACCCTTTTGCACACACCACTCTCCACGCCAGGGATGCCAGAGTTGATCTGTTATTTCTGCCTATCACAACCCATTGGGAGCAGTGCCCTGATCTTCCCTTGGGAACTGACCCCCAACACTCTCTGGCCATCACAGGCTTGAAGACAGACAAATGTCCCCTGCTTGGCCAATCAACCCCGGTCAGAATGATTGGTTCAGAGATGGGCACGTGACCTATGAAAGCAGCATGGAGAGAGCAGAGTTGAGAGATGGAGACAGGCAGTGCTCAAGGACTTCATTTGAACCCCTGGATCCAGCCATGCCTGCCTCCACCTGCAGGAGACATGGGCACAGGCAATGCCAGGCTGACATCATCCTGGCTTGGCCACCCCAGAAGAAAGAGTGAGCTTCTCCTTCGTCCCTTCGTACATATAAATCCCAGGGAAGGAGTGTGATTGGCCAGGACTAAGTCATGTGTTCACTCTGGGGGGAAGAGCAGTATGTCAGCTGCTACACTAGAAGCCACATTGGAATGGCAGAAATACAGTTCCCTAAAGGCCAAGAGGAAGGTGCTTGTGCTAGAAATCGGGGAAGGATGCTGAGCAGGCAAAAACATCCAATGCCCAACACTCTCCTTCAGGGATGCATTATTATCCCCATTTCACAGAAGTAAAAACTGAGGCTCAGAGAGGTAAAGTCACTTGCTCAAGGTCACACAGCCAGTAAATGGCAGAGCTGGGATCCTAAACTAGCACTTCCCAAACATGTGGAGAGAGAGAGGTGACAAGATTTTCGCTGGTGCAGTGAGAAAGTCATTCCTCTTTCAATTCTCCTTTAAGCCTTCCAGGAAGCAAGGCGCATTTGGTGCTTGCATGACTTTAAGCCCTCTCAAAGCCTTGCTACATCTCTCTTTTAACAAAGAGAGAGTTGCCTTAGGTTCAAAGCCTTTGGCAGGAAGTAGTATTTTGCTAAAATAATCATGCTGATTTTTACAATTATCTTCTCTTTATGTAAATGATACTGGCTTGCTTAAGTTTAAAAAGTTAGTTGATTTAAAGAAAATGGTTTAAAAAATAATAGTACATGTGGTGCACAAAAATGGCCAAAGGCATAAAGGTAGGTTGCAAGTGACTTGAATTTGGGAGACGCTGTCATAAAACTGGAGAAGACTCTTTGGTTGATGGGTCTAATGTCTCTCAAACGTGAGGGTATCTGGTGAGAAGAAAAGAAATCCAAACTGTTCCCTCCCACCATTCCTGACTGTACCCCCAGCTCCCTTCCTACTGGGATACTGGAGCCTCAGGCCTAGGGGAGGAGAGAAGGGGAAGAAGAAACAGCCATTTCAAAATGGGGGAAAAGGGTAGGGTCTCCCAAACTGTTTGCACAAGAAGTACTTCTTAATTGCCCCTCACCCTCTCCACGGAGTCCCTGGGTGGTACAGATTGTTACTGAATTCGAGTCCACTAAGAGGCACCTCGGAAGAAAGACCTGGTGATCTACTTCCAAAAAGTTGGCCACTGAAAACCCTATGGAGCACCGGTCTACTGTGGTGAAATTAGTTCTTTTGTGTGTCCTGTCTTGGTTCTTTGGAAAAACAGCTTGAGAGATTTTTTCCCTAAACCCTAGTTTTCTACCCCAGAGAGTTTGTTCCATTTCCTGGGTAAACTGTAAACAACTTTGATACTTTTTGTCTGGTCCTGGGCTGTAGCTTGCCCTTCGACTGGTATGTACCTTGCAGGACTGAGCAGTCCTGATGTCAGTGGTTAAGAGCTTGGCTGCTAACTGAAAGGTCAGCTGTTTAAATTCACCAGAAAGATGTGGCAGTCTGCCTCCATAAAGATTATAGCCTTGGAAACATTATAGGGCAGTTCTACTCTGTCCTATAGGGTCGCTATGAGTTGGAATTGACTCAGGCGCAATGGGTTTGGCTTTCTTGGATTGCAGGGATTGGTCAATAGACTATGCAAACAAAATAGCTGTGGCCTACTATGCAAATGAAGTGACTGGTCTATGCAAATGAGGTGACTATAGCCTACTATGCAAATGAAGTGTCTGTGGCCTACCAAGAGAGGATTGTCAGTTTGTGGCCCCCCTTGCTGGGAAGGGTCACGGCTTGAAATTGACAAGGAGTTGTGTATATATGCAGTCAATCCCACAGAGGTTTTGCAGACAGAAAAGAAACAGGAAGGGAAGCAGCAGGAAGAAGCAAAGAGAGAGAGGAGGCAAGGAACATTCTAAAAGAGCTGTAACACGGAAGAAAAGTGAGAGGCTCAGAAGGGGGCCAGAAGCAGAGCCAGCGGTGACAGGCCTGGAAGGGGCCCTGCGGCAGAGTCGGTGGTGACAGACAGCAGGGCCAAGAGGAGCCTGTCCTGTGGGGGCCGAGAGGAGGCCTACAAGGCCGAGAGGAGCTGAGCGAGCTGTCCTGTACCGAAGAAGGGAGACTTTGCCTACATGCGTCCTGATCCTGATCCTGAGTTGTACCCTGTTTTCCTTAATAAACCACTTAGCTGTAAGTATGGTCTGTGAGTCCATGTGGCCACTGCAATAGATTATTAAACCCAGAAGCAGAGTGTGTCGTGGGAGGGACAGCTGGTGTGAGAATTGTAAAAAGGTTGGAGGGTGGAGGTATGTCTGACCTTTACCTCATAGGAAACATCTTTGGGCTGATCCTGGTCATTAACCCCCCTGATGGTATTCAGGTTCTGACGTTTTACATTTTACATCTACTCTGACACACGGGGTTATCATGAGTTGGAGGTGACTAACAGAAACTGGTTAGACTGTTTGCAAAAATGGCCTCAATTATTGCTCTGCATCCACCCCCTTTTCAATGTCACTTTGCAAAGCATCCCACCAAGAGGTGGAGTCCATTTCCCCACCTTTGAATTCAGCCTCAGCCATGTGACTTGCTTTGACCCAAAGAATGCAGTGGAAATTACTTTATCCCGGTTCCCAGTCTCGGCCTCTAGAGGCACTGCATGCTTCTGTTTGCTCTCTTGGAAACGTCTTTGCATCATGGCCATGTAAACAAGCCTGAGCTAGCCAGCTAGAGGATGAGAGACACATGACTCAGTAGCTTTCAATGCCCTAGCCAATAGCCAGCTAGCTATCAGAAGTAGATTTGCCTAGCTGATCACCAGCTGAACACAGACACATGAGGAAGTCAGGCTGAGACCAGAAGAACCTACCTGCTGAACACATCCCAGATTGTTGACCCACAGAATTGTGAGCTAAATAAATGGCTGTTTTAAGCCACTAAGTGTTAGGGTGGTTTGTTACACAGCATTATTTGTGGCAAGAGCTAATGGACATACGGGGTGAGAAGTGATTTGCCTGCCTTGAACTTTCTGGGAAGAAGCCAGACAGTTGTCATGAGACTCTGACCTTATTTGGGTATGGGACACCGGGGGGTAGGGGACATAGTCTTTAGAGGCGAACACTTCTTTATTCCAAATTACAACAAAACGAAACAAAAATCCCCAGAGAAACAAAAACAGAACCCAGATTCACATATTTCTCTGTTTATATATATATTTTTTCTGTATATAGACACAACTCTTCAGTAAACATTTATAAGATATGTTGGCAACACTGAAAAAAGAGGACACTCTGTGGACAGAGTGACTTCTACGCATTACATGCCAGGACACAAGGACACACACAGAGCACGTGGAGGCCTGAAGAAGCACAGTAAACCGAATAAATATTAGTATTTCAAATCACTACCACAGAGGCTGTCAGGAACACCAGGAAAGAAGGCTGAGAAGGGATCTTGTGCTGTGTCTTTTGACTTTTCTGTCAGAAAAATAAATAAGAACCAGAAGTCTAGGGCCTGGATCTTGCTAAAATAACATCCTCTGTTAGAGAACAACTGAATGGCAAAATACATTTTTATCTGGAGGGGACTTTCGCACACTTTTCTCCCTCTTGGGAAGTTGGGGGAGCAGGGTGAGGAGATGCAATTCGAACAGTGGGAACTCTGCTCTCTCTCTCCTCTTCCTGCTTTATTGGGGTGGGATAAGAGGCAGGACTGGCAAAGGCTACTGAAGCTTCCTATCTCTCATCTCCCCCAGAGTGCTCTGTGAAGCAAGGGCAGTCTAGACCTCTTCCATCCTGCCCCAGAGGCCCTTCTCTGGCGGAGGTCAGGGGTACAGGTGTAGCTGAAGGCGCTGTGGCCAAGCAAAGATACCTTTACAAACACACAGGGCGGGGATATCCCCCCATCTCCTGGTTTGCTTAGGGCTGACACGCCTCTTCTGCAAATGCTTCCACACGCTTTATTTATCTCCTCCCCTCTCCAAAGGAGTCCTTGGATAGTGCAAGCAGTTAACACACTCAGCTGCTAAGTGAAAGGTTGGAGACTCGATCTACACAGAGGCACCTCGGTAGAAAGGCCTGATGATCTACTTTCAGAAAAGTCAGTCATTGAAAACCCTGCGGAGCACAGTTCTACCCTGACACACATGGGGTTACCATGAGTCAGAATAGACTTGACAGTGACTGGTCCCCATCTCCAAAATCCCAACTGTCATTCTTTGACTGCCCTATAGGTGGCAGGTTTCCTGGGAAGAGCATTCCGCCCTGCCTTGTTGCTGTCTCCCCCAATTCTGGTGGGTTCTATGAAAGGAAGAGCTGACAAGACCACTCTAAAGTAGGGACAGGCAGGCAGGGTAAACTAGCTAATCTCAGGTCTGTCTGTGGTTTGATGAACCTTTGTGTGAAGATGTGGAGGGGACTGTTCCCAGACCTAGCCATGGCCCCAACCAGAAAACAATACACCACACTCTACCCTGGCTTACCTCTGTCCTGAGGCCTGAGTGAGCAAGGGCACTTAGGAAAACACCCACCTCCCTGATCAAATGGCTTTCACCAACACACACCTGCAAAGCCTCTGGGGCACCAGCCCCAATATGTGGAAAGAGACACGGGAGGTCTGCCCTCCCGAAGAGAGGAGGGGGATGTGGACTCTGCCCTGCCTGGGTAGGGAGGAGTCACAGGCAGGGCCTGGGGGAGCTTGGGCAATCTCACACCTGCAAGACACTTTGCAAGCTCTATCACCCTTTCTTGAAGAGATAAAAAGTATCACCTGGTATCAGGCAGAGGAGGAAAAATGAGAGAATACAAAAATGGAATTGACCCCAAGAGAGATGTGTGAGGGATTCCCTGTGCTTTTTGAAGCAGGGGTGGAGGGGGGCACCTCAGAGCACAGGGTGGCTTAGGAATAAAGACAGTGGGGAGGGATATACATTTGTAACCTCTCCTCTAAGCCAGTGGTTCTCAACTCAGGGTGATTTTGCCCCTAAGGGGTCATTTGGCAATGTCTGGAGACATTTTTGATTATCATGACTGCAGTGAGGGTGCTACCGGCATCTAATGGGGGGAGAGGCCAGGGATGCTGCTCAATATCCTACAACACACAGGATAGTCCCCCACAACAAAGAATTATCCAGCCCCAAATGTCAGTAAAGTGCCAAGGTGGGGAAACCCTGCTCCTAGCCAAGCTTCCCGCAATGTTCCGGAACATTCCCAAAAGCCCCATTCAGAGTAGAGAAGTGGTCCCATAGACTTCTCCTACACCATTGTTTTCCAAAAATACCCTCCCCAAGGCTCATCCAACAGACAGTTTGCAGGGATGAGAGAGAAGAGGAGACCACTCTGGAGGGCATGAAGGAAGGTATTTCCCTCATCCACCAACAATCCCCAACTCCCGCAAGGGAGAAATCCCAGGCTTGGGCGATCTTTGGTCAAACAGGAAAACGTAAAGCTGAACTGAAGGGGCAACCCCTCACCTCTCAAGACCTTCTTCAGAGGCCAAAGTCGGGGTAGTTTCTCTTTGCACAGAAGTCTGTGCCCACTCGAGAGATGCCAGGACCTTGCTCCTGGGCAGCGCTATGGCCAGGAGGAAAGTGGGCAGAGGGCAGGCAGATGGTAGCTTGACTGATGCTGCCTGGTGAGGTGCCCCTCACTTGTTCTCAATCAGAGTCTGCACCTTGTACACGAGGTCCCGGGCCAGCTTCAGGACTTGCTTGCTGTTGTGTCGCTCTGCCATTTCTGAAAAAAAAGCAGAAGGTGAAATCTCATGAGCCTCCTCTCTGTGTCTGGCCTGGGGACACACCTCCAGACCCTGCAGGGTGGCTGGCATATCTCCATCACAGAGTGGCTCTGGAAAAAGACCTTGGGGAAGGGCTGCAGCTCCAGACCTCAGTTTCCTCATCTGTAAAATGGGATCATAACAGTATCTACCTCAAAAGCTTATTGTGGAGACCACATGGGATGTTGCCGGTACACAGCATGGGTTTTGAAAAAATCTTAGTTCCTCCAACCCTTCTCTTACAAACAGAATGAATGACTGGCAACCTTTTAAGGAAACGATGATTGGCATGTAATAGATGCTTAAAGATAGGAAAAGAAGCAAGGAGTAGAAGGAAGGAAAGAGAAAGGAGATGTGGGGAAGGGAAAAAGCAGAAATGGTATCTATATTAAGAGCCACACAAAATGATCAGACCTTTCAACCAGAATAATCCTAAATGTCGACATTTATTATAAAGAAACCATTTAGGAGAGGAAAGGCACTAAGACCATGGTTCCCAAACTTTGTGCCAAGGTACCCCAGAGTGCTACAATGAGCTTGCAGGGCTTCTGTGGGATATTTTAAAATTTTGAGGGAAAACATGGCGATACTGCACATCTGCTTAACACCACAAACTGCAAACTCGAGTTTCGACCTTCAAATGCATTCTGATCAGTGACACTGTATCTTGGCAAAGCAAGATTTTCAGTGGTTCCTGTGATAAAAAGCAAGAACCATGCAAAAATCGATGTGGATCAGAAAACGAGGGTGGTGGTCTCCAATCTGATTCTAAGGTTTGAGAAGTTGTGCACAGCCCAGTGGGCCCACAATTCCCATTAGTGACTAATTACAGGTACTGAAAAATGAAACAAATATTTTCTTTCGATTTATGTGTATTATTTCTTTCAAATGGCTATTAAGTTATTAGGACATGAACACTTCCTAAGTGGTATTACCTAACTACTTTGTGAACAGAACTTTTGGCCTGGGATGCCATGAAAAGCTTAGGGGTATTATGAAGTGAAGAGGACTTGAAGCACTTACTGATGCAGATCAAAGACTACAGTCTTCAGTGTGGATTACACCCCAACATAAAGAAAACAAAAATCGATCCTCACAACCGGACCAATAAGCAACATCATGATAAATGGAGAAAATACTGAATTTTGTCAAGGATTTCATTTTACTTGGATCCACATCAATGCCCATGGAAGCAGCAGTCAAGAAATCAAATGATGTATTGCATTGGGCAAATCTGCTGCAAAAGACCTTTTTAAAGTGTTCAAAAACAAGATGTCACCTTGAGGACTAAGGTGCACCGGACCCAAGCCATGGTATTTTCAATCGCCTCATATGCATGTGAAAGCTGGCCAAAGAATAAAGAAGACCGAAGAACTGATGTATTTGAATTATGGTGTTGGCGAAGAATACTGAATATATCATGGACTGCCGGAAGAATGAACAAATCTGTCCTAGAGGAAGTACAGTCTGAATGCTCCTTAAGAAGTCAGGATAGCAGGACTTTGCCTCACATACTTTGGGCATTATATCAGGAGGGACTAGTCCCTGGAGAAGGACATCATGTTCGGTAAAGTAGACGGTCAGTGAAAAAGAGGAAGATAGTCAATGAGATGGACTGACAGTGGCTGTGACAACGGGCTCAAATATAGTAACGATTGTGAGACTGGGTAATGTTTTGTTCTGTCATACATTGGGTCGCTATGAGTCAGAATTGACTCTGAGGCACCTAACAACAACAATGCACTGAGAAAGTCTGGGAACTTCTACACTAAGGTAGGCATTGCTCTGTGGTCTCTGTCATACCCTCAAACTGGAAACAACCTGGATGCCCAACAATGAGAGATGGTTTAGTAAATTTACTAAGTTATATTCAGCAGCCTTAAAATGATTATACATTAAGATGTTGTTACTGTTGCTGTTAGCTGCTATTGAGTTGGCCCCTGACTCACGGTGACCCCATGCACAACAGGATCAGATCCTTGTGATCCGTACAGTCTTCACTGGCTGACTTTTTGGAAGCAGATCACCAGGCCGTTCTTCCTAGTCTGTCTCAGTCTAGAAGTTCTGCTGATAAACATATAATAATTTTAGAAATATTAAGTGAAAAACAAAAACTAGACACAACTGGATACTGTGATGGGAGCAACAATAAAATACACAAGAGTGTGGAAAAGACTGGAAGAAAAACTTTTTTTTTTAGTGAACCCAGTGGATGCAGTGGAGCCCTGGTAGTGTAGTGGTTAAGGGCTCGGCTGCTAACCGAAAGGTTGGCAGTTCACATCCACCAGCCACTCCTTGGAAACCCTACAGGGCAGTTCTACTCTGTCCTATAGGGTCGCTATGAGTTGGAACTGACTGGATGGCACCTAACAACAACAACAGCAGTAGATGTAATGTGGTTTCCTGGATTAGATCCTAGATCAGAAAAAAGAAATCAGTGGAAAAACAGGTGAAATCTAAATAATGTCTGTAGTTTAATTAACAGTAATGTACCAACATGAATTTCTTAGTTTTGATAAACGTACCAGAATCATGTAAGATGTTAGCATTAGGGGAAGTTGGGTGAAGGGTATTCAGGATCTCTCTGTATTATCTTTGCAACTTTTCTGTAAATCTAAAAGTATTCCAAAATAAAAGTTTATTTCTCAAAAAACCTAATAATGCTTCAAGGACGAGGTCGCAGGCGGCTTTTTTCTTCTGTATTTTTGTTATTTCCAAGACCGTCTTCAGTTTTTTATTTTTCAATAGTGATAACAATAGCAGTAAAACAAATAAACAAAAAATCTCACTGCTGTCGAGTCGATGCCGACTCACAGTGACCCTACAGGACAGAGGAGAACTGCCCCATAGGGTTTCCAAGGCTGTAAATCTTTACAGAAGCAGACTGCCACATCTTTCTCCTGCGGAGCAGCTGGTAGGTTCAAACTGCTGACCTCTTGGTTAGCAGCCAAGTGCTTTAACCACTGTGCCACCAGGTCTCCTACAATAGCAATAGCTTCCATTTGTTGGGCCCCTCTTTGGGTCAGGTTTCATGTGATGAGATTTGTCCATGTTGGCTCATTTAATCCTTAGAGTTTCCCTGTGAGAGCAGTATCCTTAGCACCATTTTATCCCGAGAAATCTGAGGCCCAGAGATGTGAACTCACTTGCCCAAGGTCACACAACTCCCAAGCAGCAGAGCTGGGATCATAATCCACATCTGTGTGATTTCAAAAGCTGTGCCTTTTTCATGACTCTTCAACTGCCTCCCTGCGCCTGCTTTTCCTGCTCAGGTCAACCCTCTGAAGCAGACACTGTTACTCATTTTACAAGTGAGGAAGTAGATGTTTAGAGAGAAGATGTCCAGAGCGGGGAAGTGACGTGGTTGTGGGCTCAGGCGGTCAGTGGCAGAGCCAGGCTTTGCCCCTGAGCCTGATTTCAAAGCCTAGGCCATCTCTGTCATGTCTCCAAGAAAAACACACCCTCAGCATGATAAGGAGATTTCAACTCATCCATTTGGAAATGGCCACAAGAAGTGGGCAGAGACCTCCTCCATCCATTTTGCCATGCATCACTCTCAGCAAATCCCTCCCTGAGCCCCAGGAAAGGAGGCCTCTGGAAGCCTACACCCCTCAGGTGAGACCCTAGTCATGGAGGTACCATTAAAGAATTTGATGATGTCTGTGAAATCCATGTTGTTCTCCAAGATGATGTCACGGTAGACCTCCACCAGAGCCAAAGCGATGAACAGGACGTAGTGGGCGGATGAGACATGTTTGGCTGCCCAGATGGTCTCCCAGACTGAAAAGACATCATCATAGACGAGTTCTGCCAAGATACCAACACGGACACGAAAGGGAGAGAGTTCAGCAACAGAGCTCACGGTGTCGTTCTCCCTCTGGGGAAATCCCAGGCCAGCCGTGCTCCATGCCTCAGCCCCTGGTGCAGTGGACAGAGCTCAGGCTGGGAGGCAGGATACCTGGAATCTGTCATTTGACCATCAAAAGCCTCAGTTTTCCCCATCTGTAAAATGGGCTATGCAAATAAGATGGTTTGTAAGTTCCTTCCAGCTCTCTGAGTGCAGAAACTGAGCATATGCAGGTTTGATTTACACTGACCTGTCACTGCCCTGTCCCTTGGCTACTGTCCCCCACCCTCTGCCCCTTACATCCTATTGACACCTGTGGGGGCATCTCCCTTTTCTCCTGCACACAGATAGAGCTGGCTGCTGCCTCTGAATCTAGCAAAGAGACAGAATAGAGCAGTGGATGAGAGCAAGGTTTCAGGTGTCCAGTAAACTGGGTTTGAATCCTGGCTCCATCACTTACTATCAAGAGGATCTTGGACTAGTTACTTCCCTTCCATGGGCCTTCTTTTCTCATCCGTACATGGGTGATGCTGATTTTAGTAAAGGATCGAAGAGATAATATACAGAAGCAGCTCAGTGCAATGCCTGGCACTTGGTAAACACCTCTACACATGTTAGATATTATTACTATTATTAGCATTACCCCAAATTTGCACACAAGTAATGTACTGTGTTAGACATCATTTCTAAGTCACGTATAAAACATGCATTAACTAACCACTACTCCACAGGCTTTAGGGCTCTTGGTTTCTGATAAACAGCATAATAGAGTAGAAGGGAACTGGGATTTGGGGGAAGACAGAAGAGGGTTCTACCATTCTTAGCTCTGAATTTAATTCTTCTGAGCCTAGTTTCCTCATCCATAAAATGGGAGTCATAATGTGGTTGCAAGAGAAGGTAGGTGAGTCGATAGTCAGAACTCAATAAATGGGCCTCACCTCTATGGTATCTTCCCCCTTAGATTCTGCTACAAAGACTCTGAGAATGAGGCCCCATTAGGAAATCTGTACCTCTCTTGAAATCCAGCAGGAACCAGCGGTAGCAGAAGTAGAAGTGGGTGTAGTCCCCATTCTGATGCATCAGCTCAAAGAGCTCCGAGTCCAGGATCTATCAGAGATAGACAGGAAAAGGATCCTGGGAAAAGGATGGTCCATTCCCATACCAGAATGCCATACAGCCTTAACAGCCAGCGGAGGTAAAAAATGGTCGAAGCAGACTTTCTGGAGCCACTGAGGCTGGATGGACCCCCAAAACTACCGCCCTGAGACAATCTTTAAACTTTAAACCTTAAACTGAAAGAATCCCCTAAGGTCTTTTTTGAACCAAAATATAGTTTATCTTAATAAGTATGTCTACCTTGAGCATTGTGCTCTTTCAAATAATTATCTATGTGAGATCTAACTGACAACAGCAACTTGAAAGGTTAGATGGGAAGCTTAAGGGGCAGTGAGTCTAAGGCAATGGTGGTAGAACAATTTGGAGATGGATGGTGAGAATGGTTGCACAATTTGAAGAATGTAATTAATGTCACTGAGTTGTACATGTAGAAATTGTTAAAATGGTGTATGGCTATGTATATTTTCACCAAAAAAAAAAAAAAAATACAGGGGATGGGGAGCTAAGGATTTGAATGGACGCTCCTCCAAGAAAGATCTACAAATGGCCAACAAGCACATGAAAAGATGCCCAACATCATTAATGATCAGGGAAATGCAAATCAAAACCACAGGGAGATACCAGTACACACCCACTACTGTAGCATAGCTTCTTGGCCTATGTTGACGGACAACCCAAATATCTATCAATAGCAGAACAGATAAACAAACAGGGTTCATGTGATGTAAATGAGTAAATGACCGCTATGTCGCAACATGTACGATTTATAGTAACACAATGAGGAATGAAAAATAAAGCAAGAAGTGAGAAAATACATATAATATGATTCCACCCATATCAAGTTCAAAAGCAAAACAACGTGATACATTGTTTAGGATATAAATATGTGTAGTAAAGCTATAAAAACAAGTGCTTAACTGTTTGAGCCTTATAGCCAAGAATAGCCTCTGAAGCGGTTCTTTGTAACACATGGGGTTGCCATGTGTTGGAACTGACTCGACAGCAATGGGTTTGGTCTTGAGTTTTGTGGGGGTTTTTTGGAGTAGCAGAAAGAGGATTCAAACCCAGGTTGGCTCCAAATTACACAATCTTACACCACTAAGCTATACCTATTGTCTCCCAGAAAAGTCCAAGCAAGAACTAGGCACTGAGTCATACCTGGATCAGCGACCTCATGTTGGCAAAATGCGTGTCCATGGCGCCCCCATGGGGGAAGTTCTGGTTCATTCTCTTCATTAGCTCTGTGAAGCAGCTGAAGGCAAGGGCCTCTGGGGGAAAGGACACAAGAGAAATGGTCAGCTGTGCCACTGCCCAAGGGACCGGCACCTTCCAAAGTGATGATCTAATGCCAAGTCCTGGTTTACAAAGTCTATAACCATATTAGAAAAACATGGACAATGGAGTGTCAAGTGTATTCCACTTCAAGGGATGCTCCAATCTATAATTGTACATCCCACCTCAGAGGTGTTGAAACATTCTTTCTTTTAGGAAATGACAGAAATAGGAGACACTTTTTCTTTAAAGATACCTACTTGCTACAATAAAAGCTGACAATGTTTTACTAGTCTCAAAATGTAATATTATTATTTTTAAAATTCTAATAGTTCATGAAATTCTCAAGTCTGGGGACCCTATATTCGAGCAGCAATTGACAAAGTTGGAAGGAGTTTTATAGGCAATATATGAAGAAAGGGTCAAATAACTTTGCAAAATGCTGCTTAGAGAGTCATTACATATATTACAAGAGTAAAGGCTCGGAGAAGTCCTGCACTTAAGAAACCTACTTTATATTGTTTAACCTAGTGTTTCCAAAACTTACTTGAAAATAATACCTTTTTTTTCCCTCTAAACACCTAGTAACTTTGGAAAAAGCTAGGCTGGACTGGAAGCTTTCCCAAGGTACAGTAAGAGCTCATTCATTTTTAAAACAAATCCATTTTAAAATAAAATCTTATTTTGTAACACAGTTTCAGATTTACAGAAATACCTACTGGTATTTGAAATACTGGTGGCATAGCTTCCAGCATCACAGCAACACACAAGCCACCACAGTACGACAAACTGACAGATGGGTAGTGGAATGAACCAACACTGATACATTATAATAACTGAAGTCCATACTTTACTCAGCTTTCTTAGTTGTAACCTAGTGCCCTTTTTCTGTTCCAGGATCCCATCCAGGACAGCACATTACATATAGTTGTCATGTCTCCTTAGGCTTCTCTTGGCTGGGGCAGTTTCTCAGACTTTCCTTGTTTTTGATGATCTTGACAGTTTTGAGGAGTCTTGATCAGATGTTTTGTAAGATGCCTCACTATTGGAATTTGCTTGATTTTTTCATAAGACTGGGGTCATGGGTTATTGAGAGGTAAAGTACCATTGTCATCATATTATATTAAGGATACATGCTATCAACATGATTCATGACTGTTGATGCTGACCTTGATCACCTAGCTGGTGTCATTTCTCCATTGTAAAAGTTTCACCGTAAAGTTTCTCTTTTCCCCCTTTCCATACTGTACACTTTTGTGGGAAGTCACCTAGAGAAGCCTACACCTAGAGTGGGAGTTATGCTCCTCATTTTTTTAACAGATTAACTGAGACAATTCACATACCATAAAATTCACCCTTTTAAATTGTGCAATTCAGTGGTTTTAGTACATTCACAGAATTGTGCAACCATCACGACCATCTCATTTCAGAAGATTTCATCACACCATCCATACCCATTAGCATCATTCCCCATTCCCTTCTCCCCCCAGGTCCTGACAACCACAGAGTTTACTCTTTGTTTCTATGGATTTGCATTATCTATACATTTAAAATTAATGGAACCATACATACAATATGTTATCTTTCGCGACTGACTTCTTTAATTTAGCATAATGTCTTCAAGGTTCATCAATGTTGTAGCATGTTTCCGTACGTCATTCCTTTCGATTACAGAATAATACCCCAGTGTATGGATATACCACATTTAATTTATCCATTAATCAATGAATGGACATTTAGGTTGTTTATACATTTTGGTTATTATGAATAATGCTACTATAAACATTCATATACGAGCTTTTGCATGGACATATGTTTTCAATTCTCTTGGGCATATACCTAGGAGTGGAATTGCTGGGTCATGTGGTAACTCTATGTTTAATAATTTGAGAAACTGCCAAACTCTTTTCCAAAGTAGCTAAGTCATTTTACAATCCTATCAGCAGTGTATGAGGGTTCCAATTTTTCCACATCTTTGTCAACACTTGGTATTTTTATGACTTCTTTATTTTAGCCATCCTAGTAGGGTGAAGTGGTATCTCATTGTGGTTTGGATTTGCACTACCCTAATGACTAATGGTGTTGAGCATATTTTCATGGGCTTATTGGCCATTTGTATATCTCCTGTTCTATTGAGAAATATCTATTCAAATCCTTTGCCCATTTTTAATTGAGCTATTTATCTTTTTCTATTGTGGTGAAAATATACACACCAAAAATTTGTAAACACAACTTCCACATTTACATGAATTATCTTCTCACTGCTGAGTTGTAAGGTTTCTCTACATATTTTGAATACAAATTCCTTATCAGATAAATGATTTGCAAAAGTTTTCTCCCATTCTGTGGATTGTCTTATTTTCTTGAAGTCCTCTGAAGGACAAATGTTTTTAATTTTGAAGAAGTCCAATTTATCTATTTTTTTCTTTTGTCACTTGTGATTCTGGTGTCATACCTAGGAAACCACTGTCTAACCCAAAGACTCAAATTTACTGATTTACTTCTATGTCTTCTTCCAAGAGTTTAACTCTTACATTGAGGTCTATGATCCATTTGGAGTTAATTTTTGTATATGGTGTGAGGTAGGGGTCCAATTTCATTCATTTGCATGTGGATATCTAGTTTCAGCACAATTTGTTGATAAGAGCAGTCTTTCCCCATTGAACTGAATTGTTTTGGAAATCTTGTCGAAAATCAATTGATCATAAATGTAAAGGTTTATTTCTGGACTCTCAATTCTATTTGATCTGTTTGTCTATCCTTATGCCATTATCACACAGCCTTGATTACTGTAGCTTTATAATGGGTTTTGAAATTGGGAAGTGTGAGTCCTCCAACTTTGTTCTTTTTCGAGAGTGTTTTGGCTATTCTGGGTCCCTTGCATCTGCATATGAATTTTAGGATCAGCTTGTCAATTTCTTCAAAAAAGGCTGCTGGGATTTTGATAGGGACTGCAATGAATCTATAGATCAGTGGAGAATATTGACATCTTAAGCTAAGTCTTCTGATCCATGAACATGAGATGTCTTTCCTCAGGTCTTCTTTAATTTTTTTCAACGTTTTGTAGTTTTCAGTGTAAAAATTTTATACTTCGTTAAATTTATTAATAAGTATTTTAATCTCTTTGATGCTACTGCAAATGAGTTTTTTTTAATTTCATTTTCAGACTGTTCACTGCTAGTGTACAGAAATATAATTGATATTTGTATATTGATCTCATATCCTGTAACCTTGATGAACTCATTTATTCTAATTACTTTTATTCCTTAGAATTTTCTATATACAAGATTGTGTCATCTGTGAATGCAGATAATTTTACTTTTTCCTTTCTAAGTTTGATGCTTTTTATTTCTTTTTGTTGCCTAATTGCTCTGTTTAGAACCAAGAGTGGTGAAAGTGGGTATCTTTGTTTTGTTCCTGACCTTAGGGGGAAAACTTTTTCAGTTTTTCACCGTTAAGTATATTAGCTGTGGGTTTTTCATAGATGCTGTTTATCAGGACGAGGAAGTTCCCTTTGATGCCTAGTACTGAGTGTTTTTAATATGAAAGTTTCCTCCTTTTCCAAGTTTGATGAGTTTTTTAAATCATGAAAGGGTGTTGGATTTTGTCAAATGCTGTTTCTGTGTCTATTGAGATGATCGCATAGTTTCTTGCTCTTTATTCTATTAATATGATGTTTTATATTGACTGATTTTTTTTTTTTTTAACCCTCTAAATTCTCAACTTTTTTTTCTTTTGGTGAAAATACACATAGCCAAAGATACGCCATTTCAAAAATTTTTTTTACATACACATTTAAGTGACATTGACTACGCTCTT